CCGGCTGGCATCACCCCCAGGGCTGGCTCCGCTGCTGCTCTGCCCTGCTTTATAGCAAGCTGGCACCAGGGGTATATTTTTGATAAGTTGGGCTGTAATGCACAGCAGCTGCTTTGTCACACCCCCAGGAGATGGGCAAAACCTGGGGCCGGGATGATGCCCGGCCACCCCCAGGCCAGACCTGGGCAAGGGGAGGCCTCGGGGTCACCCATGAATGCGAGGAATTAAAAAAGCAAATAGCACGCTGCGTGCGGGTGTTTCCTCTCCTCGTACTTTGCTCCCGGCCCAACACATGCCTGGTTGTTCCCCACGCTCTGATTTGGGAAGCCGTGCCATCGGCAGCTGGTTTCCCTGGCTGAGCCGGAGGGCAGAGTGGGTCCCTTGCCTGGCTGCCAGGGCTTGTGCCCCCCTGGTGCTGCCCAAACTGCCCACCAGCTGCAGGTTAAGGCTTTTGGAGCTGCAGATGCTGCCTGCCCCTAAACAGCTTCCCCCACAACCCTTTCTGCCCCCCTCAAATATCCTGCGGCAAGCGGGATGCCCCAGCGATAGTCCCCAGGTCCACGCTGGTGTGGGTGGATGCTCCTGGTCTGGGTCTCCGTCCCCATGGGGATGCAGGGGCAGGCGGCTGTGACCTCCTCGGGGACTCCTGTGCCTCGCGGGGGTGAGAGCCAGCCCCGAGCGGAGCTGCTGGTGATGCCTCCTCTCATGACACTTCTCATGGCCGTGAGTCACCCCCGCACGTTCACCCCAAGCAGGGTCGAAGGGGGAAGTGCCTTCACCTGTGACACTTTTCTGCTGCCTGGTGAGCAGCGAGACAGCTCTGCCTCCACCAGCACAGCACCCCGGACCCCCCCCACGGTTGGGACCAGGGGACCACAGCGCCGTGCGGGGCCAGAGGAAGGTGACACTGTGCTCCGTTGCCTTGCAGGGATGTCTGGCTGGGAGGTAGGCGACTGAATGGCGGGCATGGAAGGGAGAAGACCCTACCGCATCTACGACCCTGGTGGGGGGACGGAGGAGAATGGATCCACGGCCTTTGAGCGGCTGGGGGAGGAGAACACCCGGCTGAAGGAGAAGATGCAGGGGATCAAGTCTATTGGTAACTGCTGGGGTGGGGGGATGATGAGGTTCACCTTTGGGGCAGCCCAGGCCGTTCCCGTGGAGCCTGGGGGTTTCTGGCTGTGTCGAGGAAGGGGGTTGGAAGAAGGTGGGGGTTTGGCACTGGGGCAGTAGGAGAGCTCTCCCCATCCTGGGGGTTGAGCATGATGTTTGGGTTTTTTCACACGGGGTTGTAGAGGGAGCAAGACTTTTGCTGAACTCCTGGGGTGCTTTACGGTGGGATAAATGGCTGAAAAATATGCAAGTGATGGAGCAAGGTCGGCTTCCCGGAGTCCTGCAGTGGCAGGTCGCGGATGCTGGGATCTCTCCTGCCTTTGATGAAAGCCCCTACCTTTGCAATCCCTCTTGGGTTGGGGGCGTTTCCCGGGTGCTGCTCAAAGACCCCGGCGCTGGGTACTCCCCACAAGAGCAGGGACGTGCCAGCGTTGAAATGCTCCAGCAAAGTCGGGCCACCCCCTTTCTCCTCCTCAGCCGCCTTCCCCCACCCTCCCCTCGTTTTGCTTTCGGTCTCGTCACCCCGCTTCCGCTTTCGAGTCCTGCTTCTGCAGCTGAATTTCCACCTGCCTCATGATTCCCGTCGTGTCACCATGTCCCTCCCTGTGACTGGGACCTGCTGGCGTGGAAGCAGTCGTCTGGGGTGGGGAGAGGATTGCATTGCCGGTGCCAGACCCCAAAGCGGGCAGGCTGTACCCTTAAGTCCACTGTGTAGGCTTAAATTTGTCTCTTCTCGGAAGCGAAGGAGACCTCTGAGAGATGCAGTGCTGCCCTTCTGCCTCTCATAACCAGCCCTCTGTGTGTCAGCGTGGAGGACTGTGCAGCTAGTGAGCCACTGGTGTAGCTTTGTCATTGGATTTGGCCAAGAAGAGTTGTTTCTGGATGAAGAAGGACCGTGCTGGGCACTTTTGTACCCAAGCAGGGGGCTTGGTGCTGGTGGATGGAGCTGCTGCAGGGCAGGCACTCAGAGAAGGGAGATGGAGCATCTTTCTGTTGTCCACAACAGGAGAGCTGCTGGAGGAGTCTCAGGTGGAGGCATCCAAGCTGCGGCAGAAGGCGGAGGATCTTGTGAAGGACAACAAAATGCTGATGGCATCATCTTCCTTGGAGGACCTGGTGGAAACTGGAGGTAGGAGCCTCGCTGAGGAGGAATGACCTGATCGCTCGGGATTCTGAGCTCAGGGGAAGGGAGAAGGTGTGAAGGAGACTTTCGTGGAGGTTTCTTGCAGCCCTGTCATCTCTGGGGTGTATCAAACCACTGCTGTCCTTCCTTCTCCTGGAGGGAGGTTTCTGTCCTGTCCCCATAGCTGGGGTAGAAACCATCCATCGGTGCCCGACCTTGCGGGGTGCCCGCTCTCTGCATCCCCACACCGGCCGGGGAGAGGCTCTGTTTTTCAAAAGGCTCATTGCTACATCCTCTCCCCTCTCTGCAGCCATCGGCCCTGATCCCAGCTCCACACAGGCCACCCCGGGCAGCACCCAACCGGACATGGAAACACGGAAATCTCCTCCAAGCGTGAGTCTGGGGAGGATGAGAGCTGGTGCTGGCACGGCTGGAGGGAGACCCTCCCTCTGGTTAAAGCGAAAGGAGGCAGCTTTTAGTCTCTAGAAATGGGGATAAATCTGAAAGGAGGAGTCAGCTTCCCAGCTGTGCTCCTGTCCCGGCGGTCCCGGTCTCCGTGTGGTGGGCATCCCGGGTTCCCATTCCCCAGGGAGACCTGACCTGGCTGCTTCCCCTTGCAGGGATCCTCCTCGGAGTTCGAGATCGTCGCTATCGAAGCGCAGGGGTTTCCGCAGGAGAGTGGGAGAGCGGTGAGTGCCCTGGTACCTGCAGGATCTGGTGGGCAGCAGACGGGGAGTCGATCCCATCGGCGCGGTCGTGGCGGTACTGGGGACACGGGAGGGTGCGCAGGCAGGCAGCAGCATGCTCCGGTGGCGTAGCTGCCGGCAGGCACAGGCAGGACTGGGGGACCTGTGTCAAAGGCAGCCCTTGGGCAAACCGCAGAGGAGGGATAAACTGTGCCTGGGTGTTCCTAGCGGAGCAGAGCCAGCCCCACGTGCGGCAGAGTGTGGGGAGCAGAGCCAGCCCCGGGACGGCGCTGGTGCTGCAGTGCCCAGCCTCTGCCACCGATGCTGATGGAGGGGACCTGGCCAGTCCCTGGGCAGGAGGGAGGGAACCGCACAGCCCCATGGCTGGTCCTCCCTATGTCTCACTGGGGCCAGAGGGCTCGGGAGCAATGGCACACGTGTCCCCGCTGTGTACCACTCCTCTCACCTGGCCGAGGTGGGGAGAGGGGACAGTGTGGAGACTGCCCTCCAAGGGCAAGGGCTCCCGAGTACAAGTGGCCTGGGTGGGCTGCCTGGGCACGGAGCCAGCAAAGCAGCCCCAGCCAGATGGGGACACTGGTGTCCCCGTCTGCCATGTGACAACGACAGGAAGGGCTGTGACGGGCCAAGGAGCCATCAGTGATGCTCTGATGCTCAACTGCTGATGCCCGCACTGGGTAGGAAAACCAGGTCTCTTCTCCAAGCCCTGTCATTGCTGACAGGGTCTGCCCCAGCCTCCATGTGCTCCGTTTGCTGCCACCTGAATGTGTCCCCCTGGCTGGCACTGCCCCATCCTGACCTACTCCAGCTTTTTGTGGGTGCTGAAAGGCGGGGGGCAGGGATGGGGAGCCCAAGGGGGACCAACAGCAGCTTGCGTCGCACAATGTCAGTAAGGGGACATGCTCTCGTTGCACACCCCTGTTCGCGTTGGCCAGAGAGGCTCCAGGAGGGGCTGAGTCTGGTAGGACCCTCCTGGGGTGCAGCCATGGGGTGATGGAGAATGGGGTGGCATCTGCTTGGCAATGAGCTGCTGGTGCCCGAGCTGAGTGCTAGTCCCGTGCCCGTACCCAGGCTCTCCTGGCCGCTCTGGCTGGGCTTGGGCCAGTCCTCACGGGAGGAGCTGGCCGTGCTGTGCCCTATGCACACCCTCCCATGGCAGTTTTGGGGTTGTAAACCCCGGGGCCGGGGTGCTGGGGACACTCCGGGCTCCTTGCCCCGTGCGGTGATGCCCGGGGCATTCCCACAGGCAGCTGCGTGAGTCAGCGGGGCTGGGAGCAGTGCGGGCAAAGGTGTGCCAGCGCGTCCCCATCTCCTCCCCAGCAGCGCCGCCGTGCACCGGGCTGGGCTGTGTTGTGCCAGCGGTGTCTCCTAGGCAATGGAGGAGTTAACCAGCCACACCAGGGGAGGATGAGCGCATTGGGGACACCCCTCCTGCGTGGGTGGGGGTGTGCCGTGACGCTGGTGGGTACGCCCTGACCTGGGCTGTCCTTGACATTGTTTAAATCCTGTGCATCGTCTTCTTGAGTGCCGCCTGCCAAAGAGCCTGGGTTCCCGCCGCCTGGCGTGCCGTGGCGGGCAGGGGAGCTGCAGAGCCATGCCAGGGGACGGGAGGAAAGAGGAGGTGGAAGCTTGGGTAAGACCACTCCTCAGCTCCCAGTATGGGCTGGGGCATGCCTGGAAAGGACAGTCTCAGGAGTTGGGATTTTTAGTCCTGGTGCCAATGGGGGAGAGCTCAGGAGGACAAGGGATTGGGGTGGAGATACCTCTGTTGCTATCAGCACGCTGGGAGCGTGATCTGCTCAGGCTGCCGAGGGGCATGGGGAATCCATGGGCTGCAGGAGCTGCTCTAATATTCCCCTCCGCTCGGGAATTTGGTGTCCCGTGTCCAGCAGCTGGGAATCAAACCTTTACAAAGCCCACACAATTTTTTAGCGTACTGAGGGCTGTTGCTGAGTCTCTCAGTGCTGGCCCAGCTCCACACCATGGCCCTGGATGGGCAACAAGGCTCATCTGCTCCAAGACGGAACTTTGCAATGCTGCTTGAACCGATCTGACCATGCTTCATCCCCTTCCCGTCCTCAGGACTTGGAGCAGCCACTGAACGAGGACACCAACCTGCTGCCCCAGCTGCAGCAACTGGAGAACACGCTGAGCGGCTGCACCAAGGAGGCCAGCAAGGACCAGGTCTTCATGCGCATGGGCTACATGGCCTCCGAGCTCAAGCGCCTGGCCACCAAGGTGCACAAGAACGAGCAGAGAACATCATTCCTGCAGGTGAGTGAGGGCCGGCCGGGCTCTTCATGGTGCTTTTTCCCTTTTATTTCCCACCCCCCAAGCCCGTCCTGTCCACCCTGAGGTGGACACCCACCTCTATGCCAGGGCTTGGTGGGAGATGGGTGGCCAAGGAGGCTCCTGGGGCTGGCAGCCATCCTCATACTGCCGGCGTTTGCCCCCCAGACGCTGTGTGAGACACTGCACAGTGAGAACAAAGAGCTGCGAACCAAGCTGGAGCGGGACCTGGAGCAGAGAAACCAGGCGCTGGAGAAACTCAGGTGAGGGTGGTGGGTGAGGAGGGGGGACAGGGCTGCCCTGGGTGCTTCTTCCCACTGACCCATTCCTTTCTGCCCGCAGGTGTGAGAACCAGGAGCTCCGGAGGATGGTGACGCTGAGCAACCAGGACAGCGGGAAGAGGGAAGCTGCCGAGCAGCAGCAGGTGAGGGAACAGCATCACCCTCAGAGAGGGCTGGGAAGGAGGCAGGGAGCCCGCTGACGCATCAGCAAAAGTGGCCTCATTTTAATCAGGACCACAGTTTGTCCCAGTATGACCGGCAGGACTTCTCCGGGGTCTCAAGGGGATGGGGGAGGCCGTGGGAGGGGAACTGGCTTGTGTTCAGCCGGCCTCGGGCACAGCCTCCACAAAAGCCCTGAGAGTCCCGTCCCCCCCCGTGCGCGTCCAGCAGAGCGGGGCTGCGGTGGAGAAGGCACCGGGCAGAGGAGAGCTGGAGGCCAAGGAGAAGAAGGTGAAGATCCTGGAGCACCAGCGCAGGGAGGTGAGGACCAGGCCGGGAGGGAGGCACTGCCAGGAGCCGGGTGGGAGCGGGTGGCTGGGGTGGGATGGGGAGACTGGGGCAGGGCTGCGGAGCCACTGGGGAGCGCTGCTGGAGCCGGGATCTCCATCCAGCTGGTCCCCAAGGTGCTTTCACGACTGGAGGCTGCTGGGGAACCACCGTGGCTGGTTTGGGACAGGGATTGGGTTCCCATTCAGCCATCCTTCTCTCCCCGCAGCTGCTGGAGGTGAATAAGCAGTGGGATCAGCACTTCCGAGCCACGAAGCAGAAGTATGAGCAGAAGGTAAGGCTGGGGGCTTGGAGAACACACCTCTGCTGGGTGCTGGCTGGGAAACTTGGAGGAGACCAGCTGTGGGGAAAGGTTTTGGGGCTGCCTATGCCTCCTTTCCCGCCGATGTGGGTCCTTCCAGGCAGCCCAACATCCCCGTTCTCTCCCGGCAGGTCACAGACCTGCACCAGGAGCTGGCGGAAGCCCGCAGGGCACTGACCGAGCTCGAGTCAGAGCGGGAGCAAAAGCAACGGGATTTTGACCGCAAGCTGCTCCTGGCCAAGTCCCGGATCGAAACAGAGGAGGTGAGTCCCTCGGGAAGGGTGGCGGGGAGCTGCTGGCCCCATCACCCTGCCCTGGCTGATTCCCCCTCCCTGGGTCCTGCAGGCAGAGAAGGAGAGGCTGGCCATGGAGGTGAGGGACCTGCAGCAGAGGATGCGGTTCCTGCAGGAGCAGCTGGCTCCGGTCACCAGGCAGCGGGAGTACCAGGAGAAGGAGATCCAGAGGCTGAACAAGGTGGGGGTCGGGGCACAGCCCCTCCCTGCAAAACGTCTTTTATGCTCTCTGGCCTCTTGTCTCAAATCCAAAACTGACCCCTCCCTGCCCAGCTCTTTGCCCAAGCAGGAGCTTGTGTCAGACGATGCCCCCCACGTCTCCTTAGGCTCCCAGCAAAGGGGATGAGGGGGTCTGTAGTCCCTCGTGCTCTTGCCCACTTATACCCGCTTCCTATGCTGGGCATGTGCCCATGGCCCTCTGGAGATGTCATGGGCACAGCACATTGCTCTGAGCCTCCTCCCTGCTCCTCTTCCTCTCCAGGCGCTAGAGGAGGCCCTGAATGTCCAAGCTTCCCCACCACCCATCTTTGCCAGCGCGATGGAGCCTGCTGGGAAGGTGCCGCAGCAGGAGCTGCTGACCCAGAATGAGCTCCTCAAGCAGCAGGTAGGGCAGGATGGTGCAGCTCCTGCTCCTCTAGAGGTGGGAAGGGAGCTACGTGCCCTGGGACCCCCGGCAAAGAGCCCGCTGTGGCCAGGAGCAGCCCAGCAGCGCTAGCTGAGTGTCTGTGCCGCAGTGGTGGGGAGGGGGGGACTGAGGTCAGCATCTACCAGGCCTTCAGCTGAAGGGACCACAGCTGTGGGCCATCGTGCCAACCTACCTGCCCGGGGCTTGGTGTAGCTGGTGGGGTCAAGGATGGCAACGTGGCAATGTGGGGTGTTTGGGGGAGGTGTCTGCCCTTGGCCGGGTACACCCACTCCCCTCCCTCCTGCCAGGTGAAAATTTTCGAGGAGGACTTCCAGCGGGAGCGGAGTGACAGGGAGAGGATGAATGAGGAGAAGGAAGAGCTGAAGCAGCAGCTGGAGAAGCTGCAGAAGCAGTTGGTCCTCTCCAGCAACCAGGTGAGCAGCACTGGGCGCCGTGGGCAGCACCCCGGGAACCCTGCCTGTCCCCCCCAGGTACAACAGAGGTGCTTGTCCCCCACGTCATGGCCCCCGTACCCATCTCGGAGCAGGGGCTGAGGTGGGACAGACTGGCCAGAGTGATGGTTTTGCTGCTGCTTGTCACTACTAGAGCATCTCCTGTCACTCATGGATCTCACTAGAGCATCTCATGTCACTCACCTCCTGAAAGGAGGGTGTAGAGAGGTGGGGGCTGACCTCTTCTCCCTGGTGACAAGTGATAGGACGAGAGGAAATGGATTCAAGTTATGTCAGGGGAGGTTTAGATTGGATATTAGGAAATGTTTTTTCACTGAAAGGGTT